GACGAAGAACATAGCACAATTACAAAATGGTCTGCTTTACCTGCAGCTTGCAATTGACACCGAAATCACAAGAGACGTGAACCTCTACAAAGGACGTAAACTTGTACCCTCAATATTACACGTGGCAGTCTATGATAGGAGAGGACATCAACAGAATTGTCTCCCCATGTTGGTAAGGAATTGTGTATATCTATATAGGCCTAACCCTAAGAGAAGGTATGTTCTCAACATATATTCATTATCTCTGATTATCTTCTTGTCAAAGGTATATCTAACTTTGTCATTGGATGGCTCTTGAAATTGACACCCATGGGTGAATTCTCAAAAGTTTATGGGAAAATTACCCATAGGTCCCATGTGGAACATGTGTGGACACCATTTAATCCCATAACTTTTTGAGTACACCCAAAAGTCCTTTCCCCCCTCTCTCTCTGCTTTTTGCTTCCCTCTTTACGCCTCCTCCTCTAACCCTAATCTCAGTCCTAAAGTCAAACAAGAAGGCGATGAAGAACAAGAACAAGAAGACGCTCATCCTCAGATCTGTGCTTAGATTGAACAGATTTGTGTATATATCTTTGTCAATTTCTCTCTCTTTCTCTCTCTATTTACAGATTTTTTTTGGGATAGTTGTTGATCTATGGTTGTTGTTGTTGATGATGAAATAGATCTATAATATCATTGAAACAGATCTGTAATAACTCAGATTTGTACAGATATCACACAGATTTGTAATGAGAAAATTTTCGAATTCTGAACAAGTAATTTTCGAGTTTTAGTTACAGGCGGTGAAAACTATAAAATTTTGCAGTTTCAAATTTTTTTTTGGTGCTGGAATGATTCATGGTTTAAAACTGTAAAATTTTGCAGTTTTATAACATTTTTTAGAACTGTAAAATTTTATAATTTCATAACATGTTTTAAACATTCCGACGAGTCTCCGGCGATGTTGAACATTCCGACGAGTCTCCGGCGACCGTTTGACGGAAGTCCGACGGTAGTAAGATGTGAACAGTGTCTGTAAATTAAAAAAAAAAAAAAAGATTTTTTGGTAACAATTAAAAATGTATTGAACTAATTGGTGCAAGTATTTTGTTTTGGGATTAGCTGGATTTTGAACTTAGTACATGGGACTTATCAGTAAGTTCCCCAAAATTTATTTATAGGTTCGACAAGAGGAAAGCCTGTGCCCATCCCAAAAGCCCAAATCTGCCAAAGATCCAGTCCGATCCGTAGGCCACAACATCACTGATAGCATCCGATTCTATTTTTTTTTTTTTTTTTTTAATTTTTTTATTATGATATTAGAAAAAAAATTTAATACTAACTTAACCAATTTAACCTTTGATACTGGGTTCTATGTAACCTACTGTTCTTCTTCTTCTTTTTTTTCTTTTTTTTTTTTTGTCAATTGATAAGAGGATAATTATAAATATAAGAAATATTAATTATTAAATAGATTATTAACCCACAATAACTAGAAAATTAACCAAGCCTAACACAACTAAGATACAAAGCCCAAGCCCAACAACCAAATAAACCATCAAGCAAGGATCTCCTCATTGAATTTCCTACTTGACTTCCTACTTTATAGGTTATCGGGTCTATTTTTGAGCCTAATTTCGATGATCCGAACCGTTCATATTTTATAATTTGTCATGTATATCATACCTGTAAAAAATTAAGTCGATCGGATATAAAAAAATCACGTGAACTAAAAGTTTTATTAAACAATAAAACTGTTTATTAAATTTTTTTTAATAAACAGTTTTTAGTTCTTCCAATATTCGATCAATTTGATTTTTTACAGGTATGATGTACATGACAAATTATAAAATGTGAACGGTTCAGATCATTAAAATTGGACCCAAAAATAGACCCAATGACCCATCAAATAGGGAGTCAAGTAGAGAATTCAAGGAGGGGATCCTTGCGCCGTTACACTACAAATAGTGTTACACAATTATTAGACCAAATGCATAGTTTCTATGTAACCTACCTACTAACCAAAAGAGGATAAAATTTCACAAATTGGAAAACTTAAACCACACTTCTCCTTAAAACTCAGGTATTAAAAAAAGGAAAATTGAAACCTTATAACTAGCATAGATGGTACAACTCCAGAGGATATGGGACACTTTCCAACACACCCTCCTAGACTACAACATACACTGGCTGGACAAACAGTAAACCAGTCACAGGCCCAACCAAGCTTTGATACCAAATTGAAAAGCCCAACTCTCATTTCTCCTTAAAATCTACGAATTAGAGCTTGATTGGGCCTGTGAGTGTGCCGTTTGTCTGACTAGTGTATGTTGTGATTCAAGAGGATGTGTTGAAATGTATCTCACATCACCTGAAATTGCTCCATTTGTATTAGTTATAAGATTTCAGTTTTTATCTCCTTAATACCTAAGTTTTAAAGAGAAATGTGAGCTAGACTTTTCAATTTGAAGGTGTACAATGAATGAATTTGAGAAATTAAACCATTTAATTAAACAAAAAATTTGTGAAGAAGCTCAACTGAAAAAAAAAGAAAAAAAAGGGGTAACATTTTGATAAAATTTAATCTAATTAATTTTCAATTTATTAGTTAAAATATCTAGTGTAACAAAAAGCACACAAAAACACACCAATTAAAATTGCCCTCGAGTCTGATAAAAAAAAAACAAAAAAATTGCCCTCGAGTCAATCCAAAGCCCCACCTTAGTTTGCCCAAACCCGAACTCGCAATTAATCTCCCACCACCACCGATTGCCAATCAAACCATACAACGCCTTCTTGACTTTCAAACTCCCCACCACCCCCCTATTTATTCCAATACTAGCATACATGTATATTTTCCACCGCCCTAACCATTAATAACACTGTCAAAAAATTAAGGGTAATAATAATCATAATATAAATTAATAAATTTTACAAATTTTTTCTGCTAAAATAATGAAGTTGTAGAAACTGAAACACAAGGCACCTTCAACAATATGCAGGCCATAAAAAGGGTTAAAAAGATTGTATTTTTTTTTATTATATACTGTCACACAATGTGAAGAAAGAGAAACATTTTCATAGAAAATAGAAGAAAAAAATTCAATTAAGTTACATACCCTGAAAATTTATTTAAAATTTTACTTAGGATTGCAATAAGGACAAAATTCATTCTAAATATAACCCCAAATACATTAATTTTAAGGGAGATGATCCTCGCATATAATATGCACTCCATAATTTTTTCATAAAATTTCAAAAAAATTTGTAACATAATTTATCAATGTCATATTTTTTTTCACCACAAAGTGTCGTCATAAAAACAATAAAGTGTCATAACTTTACATTATAAATTTAATATTTATAAACTGTCATAACACACCAAAAATGTTAATAATTTGAATTATAAAAAATTTTAACTTTTTTTTACTATATGTACCTTTTAAGGGTGCACGTGGCATAGTTTTTCTAATTTTAAATCCAGACCCTATACTTCATTAAAATTCTAATTAAACTTCATGTTATTATTATTATTATTATTATTGAAAACCAATAGTAATAAAGAAACAAAGAGACAAACACTACACCATACAACTCCTCTCTCTCTCTCTCTCTCTCTCTCTCTCTCAACTTTACAATTACACCGTCACACGCTTATGTCTGATGCCTTTCTCTCAGATGAAGCAGAAAACCTACTTACCCAAAAAAGCAGAAAATCTAAAAAGAGCCCCCCCAAGTAAGCAAGTACTCCTTCCAAACCTCTCTTTTGCTTCTCTTCCGGGTTATTGGCTTGTGTACTTTGAGTAGCGTACAAGTATTTCAATTTTGAATGCATACGTACTTGTAAGCTTCGTAGTCTATGAGAATGTACTGCTTACTACTCTATCTTCTCTTTTCTTATTTATTTATTTTCCTTTCTATTCTTGTTTATGTTTTCACAGGCGATTCCTCTTGTTTTTTTCATCTATTTTATTAGGCTCGGTAGATTGCCAGATGAGAAATAAAAAGAAATAAATAAATAATTTTGGTAGTATCTTATTCAAGTGTGAAAATAGAAAAAAATAATTGTGATTTCTATTATATTGTATGGGTAAACAATGAGTAAGGCAGTGCTGGTATGTCATTCTATGTTATTTATTTTGTATTTAAATCATAATTTAAAGATTATATATATTTTTTGTTTTGGTTAAGGCAGAACTTGAGTTTTAAAAGATGTTTCCTTCCTATTATTTTTCATCTCTTTAATCATTTAAATAAGTGATAAAAATTTTCTCTTTCTAAATTTTTTTTTCTTCTCACCGAACCCTCCAATCCAAATGGTTTGAAATAAGAGTTTATTAAATACAAGACAATAGGAGATAGAAAAATTTTAAAACAAAGAATCTCATGTCAAAGTATAAGAATGTGGGTTTTTTAAAACTCAACAACAGTTTGGTTTTTCTCAAATTGTCATCTCAACTTGAAAAAAAATTACAAAAGAAGTTGAGAGAATTTCAACATTAAAAGATAATTATGTAAATTTTTCCATATATTTAAAATGATTTTTGAAACTTTCTAGTGAATTGTTATTTTCCCAACAAATTTAAGAATAGAGAATCTTGTGCCAAATTATATGATTTGGGTTATAGTATCTAATGCCAAATTATAGGTTGTGTATTTTAAAACATAAATAAACTTAGGCTTTATTTCGGATAAATTAAAAAAGTCAAAAAGTTATTTAAAAAATTAAAAATTTTATACTATTCAAGAGTAGCTTGTGAGAAAAGTCATTAGGGTAAAATAATAATTTTGTCATTTGAATTCAACTACTCAAAAAGTTAAAAATCAAAAAGTCAAAAGGGTAAATGGTTATTTTGATTTTACTATAATATTTTATTACATATTTTTTCGTAAAAAGTCAAAAAATTATTCCAAACATACATATTTTTTCTCTACTTTTTTAACAAAAAAAATTAAAAAATACACTTATATAACACATCTCAAACAATTACTCAGTGACAGAAGATTCCAGTCTATAACACCAGATGCTATGTATGCCTAGTGGTTTCCATTCAGTGAGTTTTGTTGCCCACAAACAAAGAGCAACAAAGTGTAGTTTCGTTTTGTTTCTTGTCGTTTGTATATATCTCTTCTGGTTGGCGGCTTAATTAGATATAGCTCTCAATACAGCTTGGTTTGTGACCTCTCAAATCATCATCAACAAAACACCATCATGGCTTCATCAAACAGACACTGGCCTAGTATGTTCAAGTCCAAGCCCTGCAACACCCACCACCACCTCCACCAATGGCACCACCATGATCTCAACAACCCTGCTCTCATCTCAACTGGTTTCCACACAGCCCTTCACACATCTCCTTCAGGTAATCTCACAAACGTTTCAGTATTAGAAGTTACTTCACAGTTATTCTCATCATTTGTGAATTTCAAACAGAAGAAGGGAAAAAAAAAAAGAAAAAGAAAAATCATTCTCTAGCCCATCTACCCACCACACAACCCACAAATACACACCTAATGAGTCATAGCTTAACTCAAGAAGACAAAGTGCTTATCAGACGAGATATCTAAATTTGAGTCTTACTACTGTATAATTTTTTTTTTAATTTTTTTTTTCTAGTCTTCTACAATCACATAATCGGACACAACTTTCTCACAAGACTCCTTCAGGTAATCTCACAAAAGTTTCAGTATTACAATTTACAAGTTACTTAACAGCTATTCTCATCATTTGTGAATTTCAAACAGAAGGAGAAAAAAAAAAAGAAAAAAAAAAGAAAAATCATTCTCTAGCCCATCTACCCACCACACAACCCATAAATACACACCTAATGAGTCATTGCTTAACTCAAGAAGACAAAATGCTTATCAGACGTGATATCTAAATTTGAGTCTTACTACTATGTAATATTTATTTTTATTTTTTTGTTTTTTCTAGTCTGCTACAATCACATAATCGGACACAACTTTTTTACAAGACGTAACCCATCTCACGTAAGAGAGATAGTTGTGTGCAATTTTGGGATCGGTTTTTGTATCCTTTAACTTTTTCTATCTCTCTCCTACTGATTGTCAAAAGAGTTTTAGATTAATCAATGAACATTGAACATATTAATTCACTATTAAAAAAAAAGGGGAAAAAAAAAAAACATTTTAGACTAGTGTGAGTGCTTTGATATACAAATCTTATGTGGTGTGTTGTGATTCATTAAACATAGTGGCTGGAAGTGAAGAAAGAAGTCCTGATCCAAAGCCAAGGTGGAACCCAAAACCAGAACAAATTCGTATACTTGAATCTATCTTCAACTCAGGGATGGTAAATCCACCGAGGGAGGAGATAAGGAAGATCAGAACTCAACTACAAGAGTACGGCCAAGTCGGCGACGCCAACGTCTTCTACTGGTTCCAAAATCGAAAATCAAGAAGCAAACACAAGCAACAACGCCACCTCCAAAACACCAAACCAAACACCGCCACCGCTCCGTCCTCATCCTCGTCCTCCTCGGAGAAATCTTCTCCCCAGTCTTCTGCTGATAATATTGCCTTCTCGGTGGGTACGAATTCTCCGACGGCATCGGTAAACAAGACTTATTTTCAGAATCCGGCTGAGTTCTTGCCGGAACCCTACTTTCTTCCGGTGCAACAGGGTTCCGGAGGAGAAGCCTCAAACTATGTTTTGAGTCAAGGGTTTTGCTTCCCTGAGCTATCAAATAATATGGTTCATGTCCCTAATAATACAGATCAGTCTGTTGGAAATTGCTGTGGTTTTTTGCTCAGTGAGTTGATGATGAATCATGGGTCTCCAAAGAGAGTTGAAGATGAGAAGTTGAAGCCTCAAGAACAGCTGAATTACACTGCTACTCACCCTATTGTTCCATCTACCATCAATCACATTCTAGGTAAATAAATTTTTTAAATTTCTTTTTGCATATGTAGAATAATATGAGTAAGGATTTTTTAGAGTTTTTTTTTTTCTAAATTTTTTTAGAGTAGTGCATTGTGTGGTTGAGATTTAATGATAAATCACATCAATTTTTTAACATTAAATCTCAACTACACAATATACCATTTTAAGAAACTTTAAAAAAAAATACTCTAAAAAATCTTTGGGGGAATAATATATGATTCTCCGTCAGTTCAATCAACCCTTATCATGAAAAAGTTTTATGTATACGAATTTTTTTATGGAATGATATAGTCCATTCTGTTTTAAACAAGACTCATAAATTTTTTAAAAATGCTTTAGAGCTCTAATATAGAAGCTCTAATAGCTTTAATGGAAATGTGGGACCCACTCTGATGTGATGTTTGTGTCTTGCCTTGTTTTTTTTTTTTTACTTGGACACATCACTAGAGCTCAAATTAGAGCTTTAGATTTAGAGTTCTCTAACATTTTCCTAAATTTTTTAAAAATTGTCTTTTGTACGTCATTAGTACAAAGAAATGTTTTGTATAAAATTTTATTTCAAAATCGTTTTCCCATTAAAAAATTGATACTATTTCCTAAGTAAAGGACAACCATAATTATGTAATAGGGTAAAAAGCAGTTTATCCCCCTGTGGATTGACGTTGAAACATTTCTCCTTTTAATTTGAATATATGCAAATATTTCTCTTATAATTTTAGTTTAATGTGCAGCTATGATGTCATTAACGGTTGACGTTAAAATGGCTAATTTATTCATACACAACAGGACTATTCGCTCTCTCTCTCTCTCTTCTTATACATATAATTTTCTATATTAATTACATATTTAATAAATTAAATAATAAATTAACTTAAATACCCTAATCTATTATCATAAGATTACCTTAATTAATTTTTAATTTTTAACTTAATTTCTTATTTAATAACATTTTAAATTATATATAATTAAACTATAAATTAATCTAAACAAGTTTATTACCATAAAAACAAGTCATAAAATTACTTTAATATAATTTTCTTTACAACAGCAAGGATAATTATCTGTAATATTTTCTTACTTATCTTTTCCAGTAGCTATATACTTGCCTTTATATAATAATATATTATATGTCGGATTTCCTTAATAATTTTTAATTGATTGTCTTTAAATTTTCGTTAAATTTTTTTTATAGCTTAATTAATGTGTTATTTTATTCTATTATTATTTGTACTGAACTATTATTATTTAATTATCAAAATCGACTTCTTCATCATTTCTAATACTCGTATAATTTTATTGGTAAGACTGAGAAATCAAATTTTGATATTAATTTAAACACACAGCGAAATAAAATACTTTTCAAAGACAATAGAAATTTGTGATTTTTATGAAATAAAATCCTAACTATGTATGGTTTGTTACTAATTTATAATACTTATGAGCTTATATTATGTTTTTGCTATATTTTCAAAGATTAAATATGTTTGAATTAAATATTTTAAAATTTTTATATATTCAATCAATTGTTTAGGAACTAAATAAATTTTAATTTATATGTACTTTAGAAATATAATAGACACAATTAATAGTTAAGGAACTAAATAAACATTTCACTATGTAAAAAAGTGTAATAAAGCCTTTATATCAGTTCTTATGTATGATTAAAATCTCTTCTTTGGAGAAATTTATCGACATAAATTAAATAAGTGCACTTATTTGAATCATATTACTTATTTACTTTTTTCTACATATCTTTTCATAAAAAATTAAGAAGTATATTTATTTAAATCATCTCAAACGACCCTTAATAAATTAATAAAACCAAATAAAAACTTATCATGCAATTGATAACATTTAAAAAAAATTAAAAATAAAAAACAGAAGTTCTTTCACAATTTCACTATAATTTTACTCTATAGATTTTTTCAAGAATTAAAATTTCAATACAGTATTTTCTGTTGCTTTTCTTTTAAACCCAGGGGTATGGCCAGAGTCACGGAGTTTTAGTGATGAAGGGATGGAACCAATTCCCAATTCATGGAAAGGAATCTGCCAAAATGGGGTTGCTTTCCAACCATCT